AATTTAGCGGAAAGACATAAATGTTAATAAGCTTTTCATGCAAAATGCCAAGGGATCAGTCGCTGATGAAATGATTAGATTGCCATATAATTAATAATAAAGTGTACTCTAATATAAGAGTAATTGATAGATGTCGATATATTAGGTCTCTTATGAGTTAGGCAAAATGTTCTTGTAAATTGTTCAAGAAATATAATAAAAACTTATAATAAAGATATTCAGACTCATAAAATTTACAATTTATCAAAAAATATTAATTATTGAGACTCTTTGTTATTTTAAAATTTAGTAAATGAAACCTCAATTTCAATTAAAGTCGTCTTGAGCTTTCGACTTATTTGGAAGTTTGAAGTATTAAATTTAGTAGACACTAATTATTTCAAAACTTTACAAAAAAAATCCTAAACTAGTGGAGTGCATGGCATCGTGCCTTAAGGCAAATTGCTGGAACTTCCGATACCGTAATTAAAAATCTTGGTACAGGACCCAAAAAAAATTACACAAAATGTGAAACATTATGAAAATCTATTATTATCTGATAATTGATGTGCACTAGTCCAATAAGCATTTTTGACCTCCAAATGACATTTTTTTAACTTATTTTTATTGAGAGTCCATAACCGCTGAACCTGCCTTTCCAAACATTTAATCAGTTTTTTATCTTGTGAATACAAGTAAAATGTTTCTTGAATTATTAAAATCGGACGCTTCGTTCTCTTAAATTGAGTTACCGTTTTTGGCACTTTTTGCCCCGTATATTCGGAACGGCTAGACCTGCCTTCACGAAAACCTCATCAGCACGTCTCCTTATCAATACAAATAGAATGTTTTTTTAATTATTCAAATCTGTTGATCCGTGTTCCCGAAATCGTCGACGAAAATTTGTATCCGCACACACACACACACACACATACATACACCCATTTTCTCTAAGGTATGCCAAAATATTCAGAAACCTTTGAAACGTATATATATATAAAACATTTCATTTTCGATTTTTTTGCGATTATTATAACTTGCTCTACGGGCAGTTAAAAAGTTCTATAGATTTTATTATAAACATAATGCAGTGAAAATTCACTACAAATGCAAGACACATGACAAAGGAAATTTAAAAAGTAATGTGCATTGTGATTATCATTAATTTCTACTAACAAGGAAAATCTCAGGTTTACTCTTATGAGAAGCGGTTTATTTATAAAAAATAATTGAAGTTTAAAATAAAATGTTTCGGTGTATTTCACGTCGTATACCTCTTAAAGCTATACGAACATGTCATTTTATGAAACTATTAATCAAAATAAATAGCAATAAACAAATAAGACATTTGCTATAATTATATCATTTTCACTAACAGACAAACGAATTAATTAATTGCATACACAATATCACTTAGTGTCCACGCGAACACGCCCAGGCGAGTAATTACTGTAAATAAATAACTAGTGCCATGATAGTGTACAAGTCCATTTAATTATGGTAATAAATTTTTATAGGATATCAATCGAGTGGATTAAATTATTAGGTGGTGTTTTATACAATCAATTTAGCAAAGATACATGGTAATTATTAACGGCTCTTGAAGTAATAGTTATAAATTACCTAACAATTGGCTATAGTAATAAATAGTATAATAGAATTTGACAAAGATAAATTTTTATTCAAAGCCAAATTATAAAATCAGACAATAAAAATTTTGCCTTTGAACATGCTCAATGTGTAAAAATTCGTTCCCGTCCACAATAACCATTTAAGTCCATGGATCCAAAAATTGGATAGTCATTAACCATCTCTCACTTGCTTCGTAAATTACAGTAATTATTTGTGGATTTAGTGCAGATAATTGTCAGTCGATGAAAGCCCTTTAATATAATATCAAGTTACTGTGTAACAAGATGCAATTACTATGATACTAAAATACAAGGCGTTGTTAATACCATATGCAAGTATGCGCCTTGGCCGGAATTCAAGCCCACTTGACCGCGATCGCCGGGATCATATTCCACCTCGATGAGATGCGACTTACGATGATACATAGACAGAGATCTAGGTGCCTTAGTAATTACCAAATGAATAGACAAATTATTTTACAACACATTAAGTAAGAACTTTGATTATTAAAATCTATTGTCCGAATGTCACATAGACTCGATGAGTTTAAAAATGATTCTATTGTTATTGTTAACGATATGATGTCAAAAAATGGTAATAAAATGGTGAAATGCTGGTCATAAATTTTTATACTCATGTTGCATCCTAGATCTTTTGAACTAAGTAGCATTCATATGACAACCTCACTAAAGTTACTAAATTTTTTGTTACACAGAAAATGTGTTAAGAGCAGAACAAATGACTCCCTGGATTTGTGAAAATAGTATTACAAATATTCGATTTTTTATCAATTGCCTAATTTGAGTATCATCGAATTTATGAGGTTTTAACTCTTCCTGTTTTTTATTTTCAACTTTGGTCTCTTAATCCACTACAAGATAGAAGTTTTTGATGTACCTGGTTGTTTATCATTAGTATGGATAGGAGCCATGTGGCTGATTCTACGTAGATTCCAAGGCCATTGGGGGTCGTGAAGTATGACCATTTAATTCTATTGCCTAAATTTATTCGACTAATATTTACTACACATTTAAAAGTTGTCTTGGTGATTCACAGAATTTACGAACCATGGATTATAAGTTGCCTAGATTGTAGAAAATTGAATATATCATGTTTTAACTGTTCCTCCGTTCTCTCCTAACATTGGTCTCTTAAACCACTACAAGGTAGACAGCAGTTGTTGATGTTCCTGGTTGTTCATCATTAGCATGGGTAGAAATCGGGTAGCTGATCCTAAGTAAACCCTAAGATCATTGGAATCATTGAAATCGGGTAGCTGATCCCAAGTAAACCCTAAGATCATTGGAATCGTGAAGTATAACCATTTACTTCTATTTTCAGAATTTATATGACTAGTATTTCCTAAACAGAATTACAAGTTGTCTTGGTGAATCTGAGGTCTTTTCCAAACGATGGCTAAAAAAATTAGAGGATTTTTCGTTGACACCGGGTATAAAAACCCATGATTCATCTTAAATGCGCAATTTCAATTTAAAGTAGTTGAAAAACACTGTCTTTAGCAAGTTAGATATAGGTTTTTGGTATTTGTCGTAAAAATATTCGACACATGTGAACAAGACTATCTGTATGCTTACAGCGTCTGTGAGTCAAAGTAATACCAAGAACAGCAAATAAAGCCCTTAGTTATTTTTTAAACTGCAATAAGTGTAATGTGGGTAGTTCCCTAAAACCAACAGTTGTTATGGAAAAACGGAAGGTATATTTGAAATAATCTTACAATTCTGAGCAGGTTTTAAAAAAAGTTCGAGCATCAAATCAAAAGTGCCATTTCTGTCACGCAGTGTAATCTATTAAACCATGACAGGTTGGTCATTGTGTTACCATCTGAATACCAGGAAATAAGGAGAAGTTTGAGCACAACAGCTCATAGAACCAAAGTTCTGATTGCAGTTAACAAGGAGAATAAAAAAACAACTTGGAGGAGGAGAAGAAAAAAAAACAGTTTTACATGCTAAATTATGAATATTTCAAAAACTTCTACTCAGCTCTCTCTTTATAAAACAACAAACATTGACGAGGATGATCTTAACTGCGCGTTTATTATCCATAAGCGGTCGAATCGATATACCTGTTCGCCGATGCAAAAACTAAACAAGCGATGACGATCGACTATAAATTACACGTTCTCATTTTCATTTAATTTATTATCTATTCTATGAATATGCAAAGATGATTTCATGCCACCGAGAGCGTTTCGATTTTTACTCATCGGAAAAGTGAAATGATATCGACATTATTCGAATTGAGGAATTTGTCCTGAATAAAATAATAGAGGCAATCTATTGCGGTTCGAGAATCTAAATTGCCATATTTGAGAGAGCGCAGCATCTAATGATAATAAGTTTTGTGATGAATATAATAACCTGAATAAAACGCTTGTTTATAATTAACACACACACAGATTTATATATATATATATATATATATATATATATATACGTTCTATCGTTATAAATATTCAAAAAAGATCCTTCTACAATTATCCGTTAAAATAAATTTTCTTCGAATTGTAGTACAGTCGAGTTAAAAAAGTCTGTATTGTGTATAAAGTATTAATGTGGTCCGCAAGCATAGTTTTGAATTGTTTGGGATTTTTTTAATTATTTTTTTTTTTTAGTGAAGTTCTGGTTTGTTTCTTCTATGTAAAACAAATTACAATCGAGACAACTCATTTGATAAATGAGATTTCTAAGTCGTTCGATGTTATAAGATGTTTTGGTTTTGGTAAAAATAGTGCTAGTTGTTGTACTAACAAGTCGGAGTCCAGATTTATAAAAAAGTTTTTTCCAAGGAACATGCAGTTCTTTATTGTGTGGTATATTACTATCGGTATATTACTATACAAGTTAATTATACCGTGATAAATCAAAATTTAATGCGCCTGAATAAAAACAGCGCCAAATGTTGGTTATTGTTTTAATATACCAATATAAGCCAGATTCGTGTTGTACAGTAATAAATAAACTCATATGTGACCATTTAAATCGTATTAGTATTATATTCCCAGAATTTTGTTAATAGTTACATCGAAACCACACGCGATACAGAATCATCCCTTGACACATCAGACCATAATACGAGGGTAGGGGGTCCTCGAATGTGTAATGCGTTTCGCAATATTAAACCAATTTCTGCGTGAACGCCACCGCTAATGTCACTAACATCAGCATAAAGCAAAACGGGCCATCATAATAGCATCGGCGAAATTATATCTACATCATGTGTATATTCTGATATGAAATGTTGGCATAAAATAACGTCGAGGGTGATACTTGGGTTGACGATAAAAATTATAAGCATATGTTACCAAGGAAAGCCCTGGAATTGATATTTAGGGCGATGGGAAAAAGAAATATAAATTTACTCACCGAATTGCTGCTGAGAGGCTTCAGAAGAGGTCTCTGGGTTGGAGAAATTCTGTAACAAGAGAAAAAAAAATTAATTTATAACTGTATTATGAGAGGATCATTACAATATGTATATAGTAAATAATAAATTTTCAAAATGCATTAAGGATACTCTGTTCTATCAATGTAAATCAGGTGACTACGTTGTGACTCATGTAGAACTTCTTACCGACATGTTGATAAATATTTATTTAACATATCTAGCTAGCAAATATTATAACAAATAGAATATTTCTATGATACTAAATGTCAAATATCAATCGCCAAACTGTTAAATTTTATTATTGCTGATGGCGACAACTGTAACAATCGTAAAAAATATATATGCTGACGGAACTGCAACAACGCAATTATATTTCAAATCATGTTCATTTCCAATCAAATAATATTATGTCGTGATGAATTCGTAATGCTGAATTTTGTATTCATATCAATTGTGATAGCTGCGTTTTAAATCACTGTTTAATTGAAGTGTAGTTCTGTCAAATTTGCCCATCACACCGCGAAACTTTATAGCTATGTAACGAATATTTAACAATATTGCGAATTCAATTATGAACTTTACGTTCGCGAATAGCACATAAAAATTTCACAAATTGCACTCGAAATGTAATTAATTTCTATATGCGTTTATTAATTTGTAATAAAACCAATATAATTGTATTATAGATCGTATATGCTAATGTAATAGTTATATTGTGATAATGAAGAAAAATATGAACATTTGTCAGATATTTGCAAAAGTGTAAGCTAGCATATTTGTAGTATACATAGCTAATTATATATGGTAGTATGCATATGTTTTCTCAAAATCTTGATTTGTTTTAAGTAAAACTTCTTTAGGCGCGACTAAGGTGTAAATCCGTACAATTGCAACGGAAATGCCTTACGCCAGAACTGTACGTCATTCGCTTTCGATGAAATCATTTCTATACGGGTCGATTGTGATTAGTCGTCGTGTATGTGAATAGAGATCTGTCGTTGTAGGCGTACCGGCATCAACGTTATACGAGTACCGATATAAAAAGGAAATTAGCATAGATAGATAAACATTTTGAAGTTACATCGTAGTACAACTCTTGATTTAATAAAAAAAATGCCTCAATCAGAAGAATATTTTACCCAGTTTCTTGAAAATAATAAAACAAATTAAGCATTTGTGCCGTGAACGTAAGTTTATTGATTAGAAATAATTTCTATTTTATTCGTAGATTCTATAAATCTTTGAAGTTATTAAAATGGAAAATATTTTTAGGCATGATAGATATTACTACAAGAATGAGATTATATCGCCAGCAAAAAAGAAAAAAAATACAAGCAGTCAATTAATGTATGTTAATTTCAATTACATGAAGTTCTTCAAACACAATTACACGATGAGTGAAATTTTGAAAATAATAATTCTTTAGGCGTTGTTCAGCATAATCCACTGTGTGAACGAATATTATAGAATTTATTAATCAGCAATTTCTTTATTTCTCTAATGAAAGTTCCTTTCTAAATGCTAATTACAATGACAAACCGATCATGTCATATTTGAAGTATAGCATCAATGGTCGACACTACTGAATATGTGAATCACGAGTGTTACCATATTACTAATAAACATTATTCAAAATTGTTATATGATGTATTTATTTTTACTTAAATGCCATCTTGTACAGTATCCAATAAGTTTTACTTTAATCGTGTGTGAACCTAATTTGTAATTTTATAGTTGATCCTGTATACAATAGTGTACAAAGGATAACTAGTTTCCACAGTTTTTATTACGATACATGCATATAATCTTCATACTCTACGACAAAAACTTGAGATCAGCAAGAAAATTAAAGCTACGTTACATTCAGTAATGAGAGTTGAGTGAATTAAATGTGATCTACACAAAAACTAACCAGCCCAGTCAATTCCATTTGCATTCAACTTTTGATTGGCAACTTTCAGAGAGAGAAAATGGTACATAATCGCCTTTCTAGTGGAAATCTGGAACGAATCTGATCCATTCTAACATTGTATTAGGCCGATAAAATTATAACGCAATCAAGAACGTGACTCCGAAGCGCCAGGGAGAAGAAACGCACCGAAACGCCTTTTGCCAAACAGCCGCGGGTTAGATAGATACGAACACTAGATTACGTGGATATTTCATTATGACATTAAATGTGTTATCAGCAAAACTGAATGTATTAGGAAGTTTCTTAAATATTTCCAATGGCAAGAAAATTTTATAGATTAATTAAATTGTACTGACCAAGCGCTTCATGCAGAAAATATCTTTGACCTATTGCTAGAAACGATCACCTGATGTAGTTTTACTGGTAAAAATAACGAAACTCCCTGAAGTAACTGAATAGTTATTACAAATTATACTTAGGTTTAACACATTAATCGTCAAGATAATATTAAAAAAAAAATATACGGAGCAGTAACTTCATATATATATATATATATATATATATATATATATATATATATATATATATATATATTATTCATTCATACTATATAACAATCAGAGTTATTTAGAGACCCTATGAGTTAGTCATATAGATAGACTAATAGACTTTTATTATAGATTATAAAATATAGTTAATAATTTGTCAAGGAAACTTAATGTATCCAAATAATTAATAGCATCATAAGTATTTCTGAATTACGTAAGAATATTCAATATTTTTTTAAAATATCTAGCTCTAATTTATGTTCTTTTCTTGATTACGACATGAAATCATAAATTCATGGGGTGCATTTTACGCAGTTAAAATATTAACGATACCTGCAAAACGCTATCTTAATATAACAAATTTATATATTCCTACACAAACTTACGTCACAATTTTAGCAAAAGCGTCTAACATCTCATAAAATTGTGTACTTTAATGAAGTATCTACATATTATATAATGTAAAAGTAATTTTATGTTGCTTTCCCAATACCCGCTATGAATTCTATCAAAAACTTGTAAACTACTAAATATTATTCAAGCTAATTAATTTGCCATATTATTATTATGTATAATAAGTTAAATACAACTTATTACAACGGGCACTAAGATACAAAATATATGTTTATAGCAACTTTTTTTTCTTGGAAAGATATAATAACCAAAATAGAATTTTCGAAATATAATAGTAATAGTAAGATATGAAAAATAATGTGGATTTATACATATCGGTATAATTTTTAAAATATTAATATTTTAACTTTTAAAAACAAATAGAAAATATAGATGAATTAAAATTGAAAATAACGTTATAGCAACGAATTTAGAGCTCTAACAAGGTAACGAGTATTTTGTTCAAAATTATATATATATATATATATATATATATATATAATTAAAATTTAAAATACTACATAAATCCCAGCAAAAATAAATCGTGGTCAAATCATGACGCAATATTCGAATCTTGGGCCTTCATTACCAATATTGCGACCATATTAACTGGAGCTCGTTTTTAGATAGGTCGGCCAATATTTGTTTTATAAAAGTGTCAACAATATTGCAATGATAATTGTCTCTGTCAAACCCTTCAGTTTTATCTTTTTCATTCTTTAAACAGAGTTTTATGCAAATATTATCTTGCACTTTCGACAATAGTTGATAATTAAAATTAAGTCAATCATTTAATACATAAACGACTGAAATGATAATTAAATTAGAAACAATTTTGCAACCATCTGAAAACAACAACTAAAACTTCAGAAATAGGAATAAGAATAACAATTAAGAATTTTAAAATACAAAATCGTTAACAGTGTTTTTGAGATTGGCGAGATTGAAGTAGAATGAACTTTTGTTTTGAACTGACCCTGGTAGTTGTCTGACGGGGTTCTCTGATCTGTGGCAAATGAGATTGGGTGATTATCAAGTATGTTTATTTAGTCAAGTAACGTTATTTAGATGTTAATTTTGATAACCTAATGTTTTCTCTTATTAAATTACCAAATACTGTTCTAATCTATGATGCTTCAACATACAACGATTTAAGAGAGCACTTGAATGAGGAAGTATTAAAAGTTTTAGAAACACTGGTTAAACATCAATATTTTCCTTATCTTCCTCCGCTTTTCTGAAACGATGAAAGTTCAAATATGAACATAACACAGCGATCTAGAATTGTATTAAGAAACATAAGCCTCGATTGTGGAGACGTTCGGCTCGCAGATTGCACGGAACATTGTAATTGACAGGCGCAGATCGACGATAAATACGAACAACCATTACGGATTACAGCGGCCGTATAGTATCAAAATTTTGTAATACTCTTTCCTCTATATATCGGTTATTTCTTATGAAATCCAAAACTTGTAATATTTGCATAAAGGAATAGATGGATAGCTGCGAGCGCGTGGCGAAAGTCCGAGAAAAATCGTGGAGAGTCCGATACATGCAATATCAGATTTTCGAGTTACGAAAATGTGTAATGAATGGAAATGGTTGTATATGAGGCAAATGTGGCCTGAGGTATGGTTTAAAAATTTTATGTTTTCTGAACATGTTATTTATCGTAATGGGTATCTTAATGATAATGTGGTAACAGGTAAATTTGTGAAAGGTTTAGCAAAAATTAAAAAATTATGTGCTGATATTAACACTATGCCGTCCGGCGACACCACAGTGGTGTCGGGCGCGAACTAGCGCTCAACAGCCGGCGACACCACAGTGGTGTCATGAGCACAGTATCGTCCTTTGGCCAGTGGCAGAAATCTTTCCATCCTGTTGGTGTTTTAATTTAGATAAAAAAATGTTACACCCGTCAACTTTAGTAAGACCTAAAAATTTGTAATTTTTCGATAATATCCAGAATGGGCGGGGACAAGCAAAGTGATAAATTAGTACTACCGGCGCCAAGCGAATAAATTTTTACAAGACGTGCGGACGGCAAAGTGTTAAGAATTTTGTGTATCGACATATTCTCTGAATTATCTAGAGGTTCTTAAAATTTACAAATGTGATTTTCTATTCAACAAAAATCTAGACACATTAATGCTTCACAGAGCTCAACT